ATATATATATGGTAGCTCTGTGGCAGTTGTCTACACAGAGCAAACATTGTTCCAGGTTTAAACAGACAAAAAGTAGCCCAGCACATGGAGGGGGACGGGAGCCCTTGTCTAACCATCTTCTAACACTTCTAAGCAAAATTCCCTAAGTACAATAATCTGCAGAAATGCTGGGGATTCTCTAAGCAATATAACTTCTTAAATCAAAGGTTTAGGGAAAAAATCTTTTTGGCAAGAACCACTTCTCAGTCATTTCAGCTAAACTAGCTGTGAATATGGTATAAAGGATGACAGTCTATGAAACTAGAGTCTAAGGCAGTGGTGGCGAGCCTATGGCACATGCAATGTAGTGGGCTGTGTGTAACATTGAAAGATCTAAAAGGTTCCCCATCACTGGTCTAAGGCAATGGGAAGTGAGATCAATTAGATGAAGGGATGACTTTAAACTGGTCATGGTGGCACAGACCTATAATCCCAGCACAGGGGAGGCTGAACTACAGAGCCAGACCCTGTCTCAAAAAACAAAACTAAGTAAAACATGTCTTTAAGAGGACTGGAGCCAGCCATGGTGGTGCATGCCTGTAATCCCTGCATTTGGGACGCTACGGCAGGAGGACTGCTCCAAGTTTGAGGGCAGCCTGGGCTACATTGGTGAGTCCGAGTCTGGCCTGGACTACACAGCAAGACCTTGTCTCAAAAACCAAAACAACAACAATCTAATCCCTGATTCTGAAGGAAGATTATGGGTTATTAATTTAGAGCCTATAAGTAGAAACTGTTCCTCTCACACATGCTAATCTTTAATCCTAAGGGAATCTCCACCAAAAATAAAAATAAACAGCCTAAAAACATGCAAGTTCAATCCTGGTCTTCCACAACAACCATACATTACTGACCAAGCCAGAGTACACCCATGCAGTGAGCTTACAAACAACGGACTGCTTTGGAAACAATGGGTATGTGCGTAAGAGTCCAGAGGCCAGGGAGGCGGAGAAAGCACCTGTTAGTTGGCACTGAGGCGCTGTGAGCAATGTCATGCTGTCAACTAAACTTTCCACAGTTCTCAAGGCCACCAGAAAGTTACGGATCTCCAGGTTACAAAGGGACTTGACGTCCCCAGACACCATGACTATTTTGTGCCAACGATTTTCAGATAAGCAAAATAATTCCCCCTCCAGGATCAACTAACAGTGGCAAGAGGCACAATTAGTTTTAACCACTTTCTTTGGGACCCAAATTCCCAAGTAGAAATAGGAGGCCATTGGTGACTGAGTTACTTGGGGACCTCTGGAGAACCTCAGCCTCTCTGATGGCCCTGCAGTGCCAGCAGGGACACCGGCATCCCCAGGAGGACCTACTACATCATCATCATCTTCCTCCTGCTGCTCCTCGATGTTTGCATGGCGCCAGGAGGGCATGCTCACGAGACGGAGGGTCTTCAGCCCTGCTGGCTCCTTTGGCCACCAACCAAGGCAAAGACACAACAGAGGAACAGGAAATGCACAACACAAAGATGAAATGGAAATGAATGCGACACATTTTTTTAAAAATGTGAAAGTAAATATGAAAATACCCTCCCACCTCTAAAAGAAATACAAAACCAAATCAAGACCAGAGCAGATGGTTACAGTGAACACTTCTTCAATTGAAATACATCTTCAATTCTCCACGGCCACCTACCCTCTCTGCTTTTGAGAATCAACTAAGAGAAAAAAAATGGGTGAAAATAACAATGAAAGAAATATCTGGGTGGCTTTGAGTGAAAAAGTGATAGCCTTTTGAGATAGTGTATATCTCAAAATACTTACAGAATAAAGAAAAACTTATGGAATTTCAAGGGTTAGGGAAAAATATATTGGAGCAATTGTTATCTGTTTTGTAAACAATGTCAACAAAAGGGTCACTTTTCAATACAAAATCATAATCAGTTCATCAAATATATCAATCATATTGTCTAATAATCTTATGAGTGATAAGGAATAGTGTCCAATGATGAAAATGAAATTCTGATTACTTAGGAGATTTATGGGTGAGAAAAGACCCAGAACTGCATGTGATAGCTGTGCTATAAAAGCTTCTATCAATTTTGGCCACTAAAAAAATATATATAATTCTGCTTCAAGGCAGGTGTGTGTGTGGGGAGAACAGGAAGAGGAGGAGGAAGAAGAGAAGGAGGCAGAAACAGCAGTAGCAGCAGCAAAAAAAAAGGGGCCAGAGGAAGCCAAGCTACAATCCCCTAGAAGGAGCTAAATATCACTTAAGCAGTGATATCTTATGTGCCAAATTCTGTTCTTTACACACAGCAAACAATGACTAAGAATTCACCAAAGGCAGTGGGTGGGCTGGGATTCACAGACTACTGGAGCTGTGTGCCTCTTCAGTTCTCTTTCCCTGACAGATGTTTCCAATATTCAACACTGCACTGGTGCAAGTGAAAATTACATTGTCCATGGCACTAGTAAAAGAACATAAACCAAACAGGGGCACTTGCTTCAGTCAGGCTCAAATATATGAAACAATGGGTACAACACGATTATTTTTATTATTAATGGGTACAACACGATTATTATTATTTCAAACACAGCAAGTATAAGAAATATGATCTGACAAGCTAAGAGCTAAGCTAGGACTTGCCTTCAGATATGAAGATGATTCCCCCAAAACAATCTTTAATGCATTCTGGGAGGAGGAAGGCACATTTTGTTATCCAAGGAGCACAGAGGTACTGCTCCCTGGGGCTAGACTCAGACATGAATGAACCTCAGCACCTCTCTATTCTGCGCAACTCGTGAACCACAGAATGGAGAAAGTGAGACAAGCTAGAAAAAAACAACTCAAACCACAGCTGGGTTTTTTGTTTGTGTGGGGTTTTTGGCCTTTTTTTGAGACAGGGTCTCACTATGCAGTTCAGGCTGGTCTTGAACTCACTCTGTAGCCCAGGCTGGCCTCAAACTCCCAATGATTCTCCTGCCTCAGCCTTCTGGGTGCTGGGATTACAGGCATGTGCCACCACACCGGGATCTATACACATCTGGGGTTTTAAATGTAGTCTTCAGGTCCTTAGCTGAATACAGAAAAAAAATTTTGAACCAGACGTGATGGAGCATGCCTATAATTCCAGCACTTGGGAGACTGAGGCAGGAGGATAACTGCGAGTTAGAGACCAGCCTGGGCTACAAAGTGAGCTGAAGGCCAGCCTGAAGTGCACAGTGAGACTCTGTCTCAAAAAGACAAAAAAAACAAGAGGGAAGGGGAGAGGAGGGAAAGGAAGAAGAGGGGAGAGGAGGGAGAGGAAGAGGAGGGGAGGGGAAGAGAGAAGGGGAGGGAAGGGGAAGGGAAGGGAAGGGAAGGGAAGGGAAGGGAAGGGAAGGGAAGGGAAGGGAAGGGAAGGGAAGGGAAGGGAAGGGAAGGGAAGGGAAGGGAAAAAAATTTTAAAGCCACAATAGATGGAGAAATAGGAGTCTACACAGACTACAAATAAATGTGAACCTAAAGTCTCTATATTATCAGTACCTAGAAAGACATGAATAAAAAGAAATATGCACATCTAAAAGAAATAGATTTCTGATTTTATCAAGACATGAAGGTAATACATCAATCAAAATGTCATTTGTAAACTATACGTCTCGGAAATAAAGTCCACCAATAATCTCTTCTAACTTCTTCCCTCAACTTGATGAGCAAGTATTGTGAGGCCACTGCCCCAACACTCAGCAAGATGAACCCATCTGCCACTACCAGGACCACATTTACAGGCCACTCATCAGAAGAGAGACACTCACCAATTTGACGCCCGAGAGGACTTCTAGCAGAGAGATCAGGTTGTGGCCGTCTCGCAGGTCTTCATAAAGATCATTGATGTGCTTGCGGACCTGGGAAGAAGAGTGAAGTAGACTGGTTTTTATTTGATTTGTAATCATTTTATGAACCATACAAGAATTTCTGATTCTAGGTAAATATAAAGAGTTTGAAAATGGAAGCAATAAAATTTGTGAATCTTAGGTTGAAGTAAAATATATAGGAACTGGTAACACCAAGCTGGGCATAGTGACTCATGCCTGTAACCCCAGCACTCAGGAGGCTGAGGCAGGAGGGCTGCTGCAAATCTGAGGCCAACCTGGACTACATAATGAATTCAAGTGTTTCGAGGCCTGAACTACACAGCAAGACCCTGTCTCAAACAAAAAGAAATGGTAACGTCACAAGTCTCTCTTCTCCCCCCCACCCGTGTGTGTGTGTGTGTGTGTGTGTGTGTGTGTGTGTCGGTGCCTGTGTGTGGCTGGGTACCCAGTGTTTTATAAGGTGTTCCTCTAATTTAGCCCTTCTCTTAACAAACAGTTCTAACAGTGAATTTGAGAATTATTTTCCTTGTAGGAAAATTTATTTCAATTTTATAGTTAAAACTATGGAAAAACAAGTCTCACTTTGGAAACAAGCATGGTTAATGCTTTCTGTGTTGTCTCATGTACCCCTCACATCTGATATTATTGGAGGGTGTGTTGAGACAAGGTCTTGCTATGCAGTTCAGCCCGGCCTTGAACTTGCAGTGATTCTCCTGCCTCAGCCTCCCAAATCCTGGGATTACAAGTGTGCAGCACCGAAAAGTGAATTATTATTATTACTCTGTTTTACACACTAGGAAACAATTTACAAAGAGATTTAAGTATCTGCCCAAAGTCAAGAAGTAGAAAAACAGGGGCCAGGGATATAGCTCAGTGGCACAAGTGCCTGCCTGGCAAGCATGAGGTCCTAAGAAGGAAGAAGGAAGAAGGAAGAAGAAGGGAGGAGAAGGGAGGACAAGGAAGGAGAAGGAGAAGAAGGAGGAGAAGGAGGAGAAGGAGGAGAAGGAGGAGAAGGAGGAGAAGGAAGAAGATATGATCAGCCAACATCTCATTTTATTATTTAATCCAAAAAAGTACCTAGAAAAAAACAGAGGAAGCTGAGGATCTAAGAAGTTAGGGTCATATAATTATAAGTTAGGCAAGATCAACACTTTTTATGAAGTGGCAGTTGGTCTTCTGATATTTGTCTAAATCTATCAACAACTTCACTGAGTGATACAACACAGAATCAGAAGACTGCTAGTTTGGGTGGGGAATTAGAAGATGGTGCTCAAAGGGTACAGAGTTTCAGCTAGGAATAAGCTCTAGAGATTTACTGTGTAACATAGTGACTCTATAGTTAATAATAATTATTAACTATATACTTGGAAATAGCTAAGAGGATAGATCTTAAGTGTTCTCAATCATTAAAAAAAGATAACTGTCAGGTATGGAGCATGATACCAAATCATCACCATAAAAATGAAAATTTTTATTTGTCAATTATATCTCAATAAAGCTGAAGAAACAGATTGGTAGAAATGGGAAGATTGACTTTTCATATCAATAATTTTCCAGACAACAATAGAAATGGTTACTTTCAGAAGTGGTAGATTTACTAGAATTTTTCAAGTAGAAACTGGGATATAAACCAGGTATGGTGACACATGCTGTAAACCCAACACTCAGGAGGCTGAGGCAGGAGGATCACCATGAGTTCAAGGCCAGCCTGGGCTATATAAGCAAGTTTAAGGCCAGCCTGCACCACACAGTGAGATGCTGTTTAAAAAAAAAAAAAAAAGCTGAGATTTGGATTTTTAAAATATTTGAATGAAAAACTAAAGTCCTTTATAATTATAATATTCAGGGTAGCACTCAAAGTAGAATGGGGATTGGAAAAGATAAAAGGTGGAAATTCTGAGAAGAATTCCTGAAAGAGATGAAACTTAAAGGATCAGCAAATAGTTTGATAGAAAGAAAGATTTTTTAAAAAGTGAGACTAGGTCCAGAAGTAGAAATATGCAAAGTGTGTATCTGTGTGTGTGGAGAAATAAGGTGACAGGCAGAATGACCATCTGGAGAAAATGATTCATTATTAATTGATAAAAACTTCCAAATACTGAAAGAATATTATACTAGACCTAGGCATGAACACCTTGAAGGTTAATCTGCAATACCACACTTTCTTAATCTTTCCACTACTGTGTGAAGTCTGGACAATGAAGACAGGACACTCGGCACACACTTGTAGCATTTGCACACCATTACTTTCATGGCAGAGACACAGCAGACACAACCTCAAGAGCAAAGCCAATAATGTACAGTAAAATAATTACAGAGAGCTTTACGTACGTACAGAATTACTTTTACTTTAAATATAATTTGCTCAGATTGAAGTTCATATAACTTAATTTTTAGTAACACCTTAGCAATCAGCTCACAAAATTGCTGAGGCTCCCAAGGGTTTATATAAGCTGCCTTGAACATACCAGAAGCTCCAAGATTTCAAGCTTATGGTGTGGAACAATCAGAGCACACCACTAAGAGAAATAAGGCGATGAGTATTGGATAGGGAGTGGATTTGAAGAGTTCAACTTTAAAATGTTGAATTTAAAGTGGCAGAAAAGGAGCTACAAATGGAAAAGTTCTTGAAGCAGTTGGAAATAACAAAATTCAATTTGGGTCAACTGAGAACTTGAATATAGAAGTCGTATGCATCGAGTGCTAACTGAAGATACGGGAAATCGTGGGCTTTCTGGGTTAGGAGCAAGAAAAGGGAAGAGCGCTAAGGACTGTGCCTTGGGGATCAGTGTATCCAAAATGAGAACACAGGAGCTGGAAAAGCAATCAACAAAGGTAGGGGAAGGAGGAGAGCAGGAGCAATGAAAGAAAGAGAGGGGAAAAGCCCCCAAAAAACAAAATAATAGAGTGTAACCAAGGCAAGGGTGACTTGGAGTACTGAATGCTTAAGCAGGCAGGGGTCAAAGAGGACAACTAAGAAAGGACTTCTTAATATTTCCACAAACCAGTAAAACTGTGTGCGTGTATGTATGTGTGTGTGAATAATTTTCAAGAGAGTGATGCAATGGAAATGAATGGTAGCTTTAAAAATTCAGAAAATATTAAGCAGCTAAAATATTAAGGCTGGGGGTTGGTGTGGCAGGAGTGGTGGCACATGCCTATAATCCCAGTCAGTACTCGGGACGCTGAGGTAGGAGGGACTGCTGGGAGTTCAAGGCCAGCCTGAACTGCATAATGAAACCCTGTCTCAAAAAGACAAAAGCAGCAAGGGACAACTAAGTTAAATGAGGTTTGTTTTTTGTTTTGTTTTTTAATCACATACTTCACCATCTTCACTTGAGGTACTATTGCTGCAATAAATTATGCACATACACTTGAAGCTATGTATTTCTGTGACCTTATTTCATCTCAAGGGAACCTTGTTAAACATGATTCCTCTGTGCTTTGCTTTGTTTTGTTCTGTTGACACAGGGCTCTCACTCTGCTCCCCAGGCCGGTCTCCAACCCGAGCTCAGGCAATCCTATCTCAGCCTTCCTTCCAAGGGGCTGGGACCTCGAGTATGTGTGTGACAGACATCACGCACCCAACTCTCCCTGTACTTTTTAATGTATTTACTTTTATCTTCCCTAAGTATTTTCATTTTTTTCTTCAGTTTTAAAAAGCTCTACAAAGCTGGGAAGCCAAGGCACAACAATTGTGAGTTAAGCCAACCTGGGATACCCAGAGTTCAGGATCAGCCTGGACTGCAGCTGGAGATCCTGTTTCCTATTTCAAAAACAAAAACAAGCAAAACTAAAAAAAAGCCCACAAAGCTGTATGTAATCAGACAAAACAAAAAGCTGTACATAATCAGACAAAAAAAAGGGACTGGACGGGGAATATAGCTTAGTGGCACAAACGCCTGCCTGGCAAGCACGAAGTCCTGAGTTCAATTCCTGGTACCCCACAAAAAGGGAAGGATTTATCATTGATAGATAAGATCTGAACATAGGTAGAAAACTTGGGAGTGGGATTTCAGAGCTCGAGAGCCATCTTGAGGCTATAAGTACCACAGAGTACTGAAAAGAAAAATGAGGCACCTTTAAATGTAAAGTTAATTTAGCTTCTTCTTAAAATTTGAATTTTGGCTGGGTGTGGTGGCAAAGCCTGTAATCCCAGCACTTGGGAGGCTGAGACAGGAGGACTGCTTTGAGTTTGAGGCCATCCTGGGCTAGACAGTGAGGTGTAGCCACCTGACTACAAGGTAAAACCCTGTCCAAAAAAAAAAAAAAATCCCAGTTTTACTGCTCTATACCTATGATTGCAAACTTTAAATACATTATAAGAAATTTAGATAAGTGTTAGTGTATTCCATCTTTCAATCTTTGTCTTGGTACAATAACCAAATAACTAAAAATAAAATGAAACTACCTTTAAGATATAGTCAGAGGGGGAAAAACAAAAGATATAGACAGAGTTAATGGAGAAGGGAATATAGTTTTTCTGTCATCCTCCCCCCGCCACCGAGACTTCCCAACAATAGCCTATTTCCAAAGCATGGGGACACACCTCTGCCTACTCAAGGGTAAAGAACTAGCTGGTGTTTACTGGGTGCTTCTACATCAGAACATTTTCAGACACAGAGATGAAATGTGGAGGGTTTAATTAACGTCCCAATATTACACAGCTAGCAAAAGCCAGGCTGATCTAATTCAGATCTGCCTTATTTTAAAGTCTTTCCTTCAGCACATACTCAAATGCTACTGATGTTTTCCACAAATCTCTTAAGAGAAATTACAGCACAGTAAGCATCAGAAGTTTAGAGAAAAAAAAAAAAAGAAGTTTAGAGCAGTCAGCAAGTAAAGCCAATAGTGCTTACAAGTCATCAATACAGGTGATACGTCCAACAAATAATGCTTGCCTGTCAACAAGTGAAAAACTTCAACTATTAAGGGCTTCACCAGTGTGCACACCCTTAGAAAAATCACAATTAAAATTAATGAATGTCCCAAACAAGATATGTAAATGCCTAACAAATAAAGAAAAGATG